ATGGGCCCAGAGAGGAAGCATTGCGGGGAGGCTCCAGTGTCAGAGCAGAGGGGGGTTGGCAGATAGGGAGTCGGGGGAGTGGGGGGACAGAGCGGAGGGGGGTTGGGTCAGAGCAGAGGGGGGATGGCAGGGGAAGAAAGGGGGTTGTTGGGAGGGTCCAGAGTCAGAGGAAAAGGGGGCTGCAGGGGGGAGCTGGGGGGATGGTGGGGAGCCCTGTGGTCAGAGCGGAAGGCGGTTGTAGGGGGGAGATGGGGGGCTTGTGGGGGGCCCTGTGGTCAGAACAGAAGGGGGCTGCAGGGGGGAGATGGGGGGGTCTGTGGGGTGGCCCTGGGGTAGAGAAGAAGGGGGCTGCAGGAGGGGCCCTGTGGTCAGAGAAGAAGGGGGCTGCAGGGGGGAGATGGGGGGGGCTGTGGGAGGGCCCTGGGGTCAGAGCTGAAGGGGGCTCCAGGGCGGAGATGGGGCCTGCAGGGGGGGGCCCTGTGTTCAGAGAAGATGGGGGGGTCTGTGGGAGGCCCTGGGGTCAGAGCGGAAGGGAGTTGCAGGGGGGAGATGGGAGCTGCAGGGGGGGCCCTGTGGTTAGAGAAGAAGGGGGCTGCAGGGGGGAGATGGGGGTTGGTGTGAAGGACATGGGGAGGATGCAGAGGGCGGGTGGCAGACCGACAATGTGGAGGGAGTCCAGAGACGAGTGGCAGAAATATTCCGGGGGCCGGGACCTGCGTTCCGAGGCAAGATGAAAAGAGCTAAATCTGTCCAGCTTGGCTAAGCTGTGGCTAAGGGGCGGGGGGTTAGACCAGTCTGCAAACATGGGAAAGGTGCAAGCCCCGAGGGGGCAGGGCAGATGTGGGGGATACTTGGGCCTGGGCTGGGCTGGAGTCAGCAGGAGATACCTGGGCAGCTGGCACAAAGAGCTCTCCAGCTGTGCCGTGTACCAGGCTGGGGAGCAGCCTCCCGGGGGAACGGATGGCGTGCCAGCTCGGGGCAGCATGTCTCCTGGGGGCGAAGGGACAGCACTGGGAATCCTCTGGGCTGTGGGGGAATCATCCCAGGGGGTGGCCCCCTCGCTGGCGGATCAACGCCCAGACTGAAGTGGGAGGGTTGCTGGCGGGAGTCCTGCTGCCGGGCCCTGGACGGGACCATGGCAGGTGTGCTATGGAAGCGCTCCCACCCAGCACTAGCCACGCTGGGCTCTCAGCCACCTGCGGGACGGGCGGGAGCCACTCCCAGCCCCGTCTGCCTCAGCGCCCTGATCCCGCGCCTATCAGCTGCCATCCTTTCCCCTGGGCAGCTAACCACAGCCAGGCCCCCGAGCTCTCTGGGCAGTCTGGCAGGCCAGGACCCCAGCAGTGCCCACGGAGCCCTGTCCCACCCCGCCAAGCGGCTGGACGCAGGGATCCGTGGTTGGGTTTGGCTCTGGCTCTGCAAAGGCCAGGTTGGGTGGGCAGAACTGTCCTGCCGGCCTTAACACCACGAATCTAGGCCATGGCATGGCTGAGCATGGCCTGTTGGCTGGTCTGTGACCAGTTGGGGGGGGTGTCAATGGGAGGGGTGGGCGGTGGCTAGCGGGGGGTGTGTGTCAATAGGAGGGGTGCGCCAGTGACCAGCGGGGAGGAGGGGGTGTCAATGGGAGGGGTGGCCCGGTGACCAGCAACGGGGGTGTCAATGGGAGGGGGGCGACCAGTTTGGGGGGGTGGGCACTGTCTGGAGGGGCCATTGCCCAGCCCTGGGCTCTGGTCAGGGTGATCCTGTTGCCAGCCTCGGCTGTATTTGCAGCTGCCCTGGGGTGGGGGCATGGCTGAGAGGGACCCCGTCCGGAGGGCAAACTCCCAGCTGCTCCCCAAAGCCTCCCCGGCAGAGTGAGCTGCCCGCCTGCCCCTGCTCTGACCCCTGGCAGGGGGTTCTCCTGCCCCCAGGCCTGGGGGTGGCTGGTCCCTGCGCCGCAGAGGGGGCATATCAGCAGCCAGCTCCCCAGGACACAGGGTCCGGCCCTTCGCTCACGCCCTAGGGCAGCGTTGACTCCAGCCCGGGTCCCCCCCCGCCGCACCCCCAGGAGCCTGGGCTCAGCTCAGGAGGTACGGCCCAGCTGTCCTGGGTGCTCACTGCCAGCTGCCCCCTTCGCAGGCCCTGCCGCCCTTCCTCCTGTCATCCTCCCTGCCCCCCTGTACCCGGGGGGGAGCGTCTCCCTCTCCACAGCTCCCCGCTCCCCACGCCCAGCCGCCTCCCTATCTCCTCACGTTTCCCACCCAGCGGCTACCTGCGCGGCCCCCCACGCCGCACCCCCCGCCCTCCAGCAGCGGCAGGGGACCGGCAGGCCCGAGCGATGCGGGGAACTCGCCTTCCTGCCTCCTGTTCCCTCTCGTTCCCCAGTGACAGGGTGGGAACAGGTGCCAGGGAGCGCTGCCCTTTCTCCGCAGCTGCCGGCCGTCCGCTTGGCCCCTGGGCTCTATTTCTAGGCGTGAGATAATGCAGGCAGCCGGGGCCGCGCTGGCCCCACATTCCGGGCCCCTCGCAGGCCACGTGGGGCTGTCTCGCACAGCGCTGGCCCTGGCTGGCTCGGACCCGCACTTTATTTAGACACAACAGGCCAGAGTCAGGGGGAGGGGCCCGAGCGGGGCCCGCCTGCTCCCCTCCCCCCGGCAGAGACGGAGGGGCCCGAGCGGGGCCCGCCTGCTCCCCTCCCCCCGGCAGAGACGGAGGGGCCCGAGCGGGGCCCGCCTGCTCCCCTCCCCCCGGCAGAGACGGAGGGGCCCGAGGGGGGCCCACCTGCTCCCCTCCCCCCGGCAGAGACAGAGGGGCCCGAGGGGGGCCCAAGGGGGGCCCGCCTGCTCCCCTCCCCCCGGCAGAGACGGAGGGGCCCGAGCGGGGCCCGCCTGCTCCCCTCCCCCCCGCAGAGACGGAGGGGCCCGAGCGGGGCCCGCCTGCTCCCCTCCCCCCGGCAGAGACGGAGGGGCCCGAGCGGGGCCCGCCTGCTCCCCTCCCCCCGCAGATACAGAGGGGCCCGAGGGGGGGCCCGCCTGCTCCCCTCCCCCCGGCAGAGACGGAGGGGCCCGAGGGGGGCCCGCCTGCTCCCCTCCCCCCGGCAGAGACGGAGGGGCCCGAGGGGGGCCCGCCTGCTCCCCTCCCCCCGGCAGAGACAGAGGGGCCCACCTGCTCCCCTCCCCCCGGCAGAGACGGAGGGGCCTGAGGGGGGCCCGCCTGCTCCCCTCCCCCCAGCAGAGACAGAGGGGCCCGAGCGGGGCCCGCCTGCTCCCCTCCCCCGGCAGAGACAGAGGGGCCCGAGGGGGGCCCGCCTGCTCCCCTCCCCCCCGCAGACGGAGGGGCCCGAGGGGGGCCCGCCTGCTCCCCTCCCCCCGCGGAGGGGAGGGGGCCCGCCTGCTCCCCTCCCCCGCAGACGGAGGGGCCCGAGGGGGGCCCGCCTGCTCCCCTCCCCCCAGCAGAGACAGAGGGGCCCGAGGGGGGCCCGCCTGCTCCCCTCCCCCCGGCAGAGACAGAGGGGCCCGAGCGGGGCCCGCCTGCTCCCCTCCCCCCGGCAGAGACAGAGGGGCCCGAGCGGGGCCCGCCTGCTCCCCTCCCCCCTGCAGACGGAGGGGCGTGAGCGGGGCCCGCCTGCTCCTCTCCCTCCAACGCGGGGAGGAGCTGGAAAACAAGGGCCCAGTGCCTTTGAAATTAAACACACAGGGGGAGATTGATGATCCTGGGCTGTGCCGAGTCCAAAGATGGAGCTGCTGCACGGGGCGGGGCTGGGGACACAGGAATGCAGAGCCAGAGTCCAGCTAGGGATCCTCGCAGCCGCTCTCCCACAGGGCTGGAGACTGGGGTGATGGGCACACAGAGAAGACAGAGACAAGGGAGACTGGCCCCAGCACTGCGGGCAGCTGGGGGGATGAAGCTGGGGGGAGGGGCCCTGAGACTGGCCCTGTAGCTCCATTCCCGTCGGGGAGGGGGCCAGGGTGGGGACGGCCCTCTCCAGTCCCAGCTGCCCCGTTCGAGGGTGGGAGGCTGCCGGACAGGGAGCGGTTACTCCCTCCTCGCACTTACCTCACTCGGCTTCACGGCCTTTCCGCTGGCACCGGTGCGACTCCTGGCTCTGCCTGCACCAGGCACGGCTGGCGCTGAGCCGGGGGCCCAGCCCGCTAGGTGCGCACCCCTGGGTCCCTGTGATCTCTGCAAGGCACCTGGCTGCCAGCCAGCGAGGTCCAGGGCCTCGCACGCCGGCCTGGCTGGGAGGCCGGGCAAAGTGTGGGGCACTGGACATGAGCTGCTGTGCACAAGCACCGCTGGGGCTGCCGAGACCTCCCAAACCCACCCCAGGTAGAGCCGCAGCCAGCACTGGCCAGTGCACGGGGGGAGCAGGTGGACCCCTGTCAGGCCCCTCTCTCTGCAGGGGCAGGTGGCCACAGTCACGTGGGGCGAGGGAGGTGGAAGGTGAGTGGGTGTGCAGTGGGCACGTGTCTAGTGTGCCAGCACCAGGGTGAGCATCCACACACCCAGCATAGTCAGTTGGAACTGCAGTGAGCGGCCATGGTGAAGGCCGCCCTGTTCTGGCCCTGCAGTCAGGCTTGCTGGGCTCAGCTCATCTGCCCCCATGGTCTAGGAAACAGGGCTGTAAGGAACAGCCAGCCTGGCTTAGTCAAGAACAAATCATGTCAAACCAACCTTGTTTCCTTCTTGAGCAGGGGTACAGGCCCATGGCTTGGGGTGTGTGCTGGGCTATGCACCCCAGCCCAGCCCTGGGAGGGTTAATGACAGCCTGAGACACCAGTTAGGTGACCAGGCATGACCTGTGCGAAGGGTTAACTGAGAATGAAGCACTAAAAGCAGGAAGCTGAGGGCTGCAGGGAAAGGGGGCAGCAGGCACTCCCTGGGAGGAGGCTGGCTGGCTGTGAGGGGCGAGCAAGCTTTGGGTGCCTGCCCTGGAGTAGGGCATCTGAGCCGAGGGTAGGAGGGGTGCAGTAGCCACGGGGATGGATTAAGCTCCAGGGGGGCTTGGTAAGAAGGGCCCAAGGTGTCACGGAGTCCCTGGGCGATGCTCTGGAACTGCTCCCCATGAAGCCAGTCAGGACTCTGGGGCAGTCGCCTTTCTGTGAGCAGCCTGTCTTCAGGACACGCAGCTCACACAGCTTCCACCTTCCTGGGTCTGACCTCGGAGCATTCAGCATCCTCTGCCCCTCCGTGCCCTTCCCACAGCGAGTCCGCTCAGGCGGGGCTCCTGGGGAAGCCAGAGGGTCCTGCACCCCAACTTCGCAGTCAGACGTGACTCTCAGCCAGCCAGTAAAACAGAAGGTTTATTAGACGACAGGAACATGGTCTAAAACAGAGCTTGCAGGTGCAGAGAACGGGACCCCTCAGCTGGGTCCATTTTGGGGGGCAGTGAGCCAGACAACCACGTCTGCCCTTCACTCCATGTCCCAGCCAGCCCCAAACTGAAACTCCCTCCAGCCCCTCCTCCTCTGGGCTTTGTTCCTTTCCCGGGCCAGGTGGTCACCTGATTCCTTTGTTCTCCAACCCTTCAGCTCTCACCTTGCAGAGGGGGAAGGGCCCAGGCCATCAGTTGCCAGGAAACAGGGTGTCGGCCATTCTCTGTGTCCAGACCCCTGCCCACACCTGCCCTCTAGGGCTCTGCAATGATCATACACCCTTACTCCACCCCCTAGATACTTAAGAACTGCCTAGGGGAAACTGAGGCACCCCCACACTATTCAGAGGAAACATTAAGAACAGTCCCACTTCGTCACATCTCTCCCCCCTTCAAGATCGAACTGAGCGGGGTCACTTTAGCCGGTGACCTGGGGAAGTTCGAAGCCACCAACGTTCCCATGGATGCCCCAGCATCTCTCCCATTCCTTGGTAGGAGTTACACCAGGCCCTTCCAGTTTCATGCCCTCCCTTAGGTCAGGGGTGGTCGATAGCACTCGCAGGCCGCATGTGGGAAGGTTTATGCAGCCCATGCCCTTTGGGCACCCCAAGAATGTCTCCCCATTGACCATCACCTTCTGCTCCCACTGGAGGTCCGAGGGGCCTGGCCCCAGGAAACTCCACACCGACATACAGGTTGGGGTCAGGAGTGGGAGCCTGTCCACATCCCCACCCATCTGGCTGACGGAGTCTATGGCCTTGGGACCCAGCAAGGGAGCTAGACACCGGGGCTTTTCCGCAGGGTCCCCCTGGTTCAAATCGCCAGCCTGCTCAAAGGCAGTGGGGTGGCATCCACATCCCCCCTCCTTAACCAGGGGCAGCAATTTAGTCTCGAGGTTCCCTGTGGAACTGGCCCCCCGGGGTCTATCCCCACTCACCCCGGGGAGGTCCCCTAGGCCTCTCCGCCCCACCACCGCCAGTTCATGCTGCTGCTTCTGCAGCTCTTTCTCGGGCTCTCGCTGTCTCCCAGGGTCCTCTTGCTCTCTCAGACTCCGCTCCAATCCCGTCCGTCTCGATCCCCCGATGGGGAACCCGATCGTGAAGACCCCCGTCTGGTCGGGGACAGGAGTCTTGGCGATGCCTGGCTCCCACTCCAGCTGCTCCCAGATCCTGCTATAGCCCCAGTTGGGGTCAGGAATCTGTTCCTTAGAGCGGTCATCCTCCTCCAGCTGCACGATTAACTCTGCTTTGGTGAACTTCCCAACGCTCAACCCTCTCTTTCTGCACAGGGTTACAATGTCCTTCTTAAGGAGACGGTGACAGGCCATCACTCCGCTCCTCCCAAGTTGTTGTGGACTCACAGGCCCGTGTGTTCTCAGCTCCCCACGGTTTCCAGGGAGAACCCCTAGTGTGCCAGCCCTTCTCGAGGTCACCACCTCTTTGCCAGGGTCGAGCTGCAGATTCCTCCGCCCCTGAGACTGCTCACTGCAGTCCCCAGGGGGACCCCATTACTGCACAGTCCTTCTCGCTGGTCACACACTCCCAGGGGTTAACCGCCCCCGAAACCGCTCCTTTCTGAGCCTTCAGCAGGCCTGGTCCTCGGCAATCCCCCTTCGTGTTACTGCTCCCCAGTCACTTACTGCAGGAAGCGCCATCCACGGGGTGCAGTACATCCCACCGCTGCCACCAGTTGTCACGGAGTCCCTGGGCGATGCTCTGGAACTGCTCCCCATGAAGCCAGTCAGGACTCTGGGGCAGTCGCCTTTCTGTGAGCAGCCTGTCTTCAGGACACGCAGCTCACACAGCTTCCACCTTCCTGGGTCTGACCTCGGAGCATTCAGCATCCTCTGCCCCTCCGTGCCCTTCCCACAGCGAGTCCGCTCAGGCGGGGCTCCTGGGGAAGCCAGAGGGTCCTGCACCCCAACTTCGCAGTCAGACGTGACTCTCAGCCAGCCAGTAAAACAGAAGGTTTATTAGACGACAGGAACATGGTCTAAAACAGAGCTTGCAGGTGCAGAGAACGGGACCCCTCAGCTGGGTCCATTTTGGGGGGCAGTGAGCCAGACAACCACGTCTGCCCTTCACTCCATGTCCCAGCCAGCCCCAAACTGAAACTCCCTCCAGCCCCTCCTCCTCTGGGCTTTGTTCCTTTCCCGGGCCAGGTGGTCACCTGATTCCTTTGTTCTCCAACCCTTCAGCTCTCACCTTGCAGAGGGGGAAGGGCCCAGGCCATCAGTTGCCAGGAAACAGGGTGTCGGCCATTCTCTGTGTCCAGACCCCTGCCCACACCTGCCCTCTAGGGCTCTGCAATGATCATACACCCTTACTCCACCCCCTAGATACTTAAGAACTGCCTAGGGGAAACTGAGGCACCCCCACACTATTCAGAGGAAACATTAAGAACAGTCCCACTTCGTCACACAAGGGAAACAGGGAAATGGGGACAGAGGAACTGGACTGTTGGTGACAGGGACCCTGGACTGGAAACTGATGTCATGGGCGGGCCTGGGTTTCCCTGTCAGCCACTGATATAATGGCACAGAGCCCGAGCTGGGGCCAACCGCCATCTGGAGATGGCATGTGGACAGGGGTTCATGTTACCGGAAGCAAGGCTATTGCAGAGCGAGCAAGGAAGAGCAGGGGGGCACCCGACGCAGCAAGAGCTCCATTCCCCAACTTAGCTGCAAGGAGGCGTGCTAGTGGTGAGTGGCAATGCTATTACTGGGGAAGCTGGAGATGGGGGGTATCTTGATTGTAATAAGGCTTTTGACGCATTCCCATGTGACATTCTCATAAGTAAAGTAGGGAAATGTGGTCTAGAGGAAATTACTATAAGGTGGTTGCACAACAGTTATCAATGGTGTGCTGTCAAACTGGTGGGGTCCCCCGGAGTCAGTCCTGGGGTGGGCACTAGTCACTATTTTCATGAATGACTTGGATAATGGCATGGAGAGTCTGCTCAGAAAATGTGCAGACGACACCAGTCTGGGAGGGCTGGAAGCACTTTGGAGGACAGAATCAGAATTCAAAACAACCCCGACAACTTAGAGAATTGGTCTAAAAGCGGTTGGTTTGGCAAAATTTGAAGATGATACAAAAACTACTCAGGATAGTGAAGTCCCAGGCAGCCTGCGAAGAGCTACAAAGGGATCTCACAAACCTGGGTGACTGGGCAAGAAAATGGCAGATGAAATTCAATGTTGATAAATGCAAAGTGATGCACATGGGAAAACATCATCCCAACTAGCCATACAAAATGATGGGGTCTAGATTACCGGTTACCACTGAAGAAAGATCTTGGAGTCCTTGTGGACAGTTCTCTGAAAACATCTGCTCGATGTGCAGTGGCAGTCAAAATAGCTAACAAAGTCATTAGGAAAGGAATGGATAATAAGACAGAAAATATTATAATGCCACTAGATAAATCCATGATAAGCCCGTATCTCGAATAGTGCGTGCAGTTCTAGTCATCCCATCACAGAAAAGATCTATTGGAACTGGAAAAGTTTCAGAGAAGGGCAATAAAAATAGTTGGGGCATGGAACGGCATGAGGAGAGATTAATCAGACTGGGACTGGTCAGCGTGGAAAAGAGACGACTCCGGGGGGATGTGACAGAGGTCTGTACAATCGTGACTGGTGCGGAGAGAGTGAAAAGGGAATGTTATTTACCCCTTCTCATAACAAGAAGTAGAAGTCACCAATGAAATTTACAGGCAGCAGGTTTAAAACAAACAGAAGGAAGTATTTCTTCACACAATGCACAGTCAACCTGTGGAACTCACTGCCATGGGATGTTGTGAAGGCCAAAAGTATAACTGGGTTCAAAAAAGAATTAGAGAAGTTCCTGGAGGATAGGTCCATCAGTAGCGATCAGTCAATATGATCAGTGGCTCAACTTCATTCTCCGCGTGTCCCTGAGTCTCTGATTGCCAGATTCTAGGACTGGATGACAGTGGGTGGATCACTTGATGATTACCTGTTCTGTTCATTCCCTCTGAAGCACCTGGCATTGGCACTGTCGGAAGACAGGATACTGGGCTAGGTGGACCTTTGGTTTGACCCAGTACAGCCGATCTTATGTTCTTATAAAGAGGATGGTGATCAGTTGTTCTCCACTTCCACTGAAGGTAGGATAAGAAGCAATGGGCTAATTTCTGTAGCAAGGGAGATGTAGGTCAGATATTGGGAAAAGCGTTCTAACTCTCAGAGTAGTTAAGCTCTGGAACAGGCTTCTGCTGGAGAATGTGGAATCCCTGTCACTTGAGTTTTAGAGAAACTGTCAGGGAATGAACCGGATGACTTCTCAGGGTCCCTTGCAGGCCTACGTTTCTGTGATTCTTTCCCCCGTCAGGCCCATGCACAGAGAACACCCAATCTCACTCTGGGATGGGCTGCAGCACCCGGGGCGTTAGCTGAGTGGGCAGGAATGGCCCAATGTAGCAAGGGCTCAGCCTTCTCCCTAGGCCCAGGCCTGATGCTGGCCCAGATGCACAGGGAGGGAGCTGGCAGAGGCGGCGAGTGCTGCTGGCCTGCTGTTTGTCAAGCTGCCACGTTCTGCGTCTTGGGATTTCCAGGCTGCCAGCCCCAGGGGCAGAGTCCCAAAGCTCTAGCCAGGGCTGCAGGGACACAAACAGCCAGACCACTGGGCTGGGCTAGATCTTCTCTGGGGGAGGGGGTCCTGGCCTGGAAAGAGGCGTCTGGCACAGTTGTTGTTTTCTGGGCTGTCATGGAGTCCCTGGGCGATGCTCTGGAACTGCTCCCCATGAAGCCAGTCAGGACTCTGGGGCAGTCGCCTTTCTGTGAGCAGCCTGTCTGCAGGACACACAGCTCACCCGGCTTCCACCTTCCTGAGTCTGACCTCGGAGCATTCAGCATCCTCTGCCCCTCCGTGCGCTTCCCACAGCGAGTCCACTCAGGTGGGGCTCCTCGGGAAGCCAGAGGGTCCTGCCCCTCAACTCCGCAGTCAGATGTGACTCTCAGCCAGCCAGTAAAACAGAGGTTTATTAGACGACAGGAACATGGTCTAACACAGAGCTTGCAGGTGCAGAGAACAGGACCCCTCAGCTGGGTCCATTTTGGGGGGCAGTGAGCCAGACAACCACGTCTATACTTCACTCCATGTCCCAGCCAGCCCCAAACTGAAACTCCCTCCAGCCCCACCTCCTATGGGCTTTGTCCCTTTCCCGGGCCAGGAGGTCACCCGATTCCTTTGTTCTCCAACCCTTCAGCTCTCACCTTGCAGGGGGGAAGGGCCCAGGCCATCAGTTGCCAGGAAACAGGGTGTCGGCCATTCTCTGTGTCCAGACCCCTTCACACATCTGCCCTCTAGAGCTCTGCAGTGATCATACACCCTTACCCCACCACCCAGTCACTCAAGAACTGTATAGGGGAAACTGAGGCACCCCCACACTATTCAGAAGAAACATTAAGAACAGTCCCACTTTGTCACATGGGTGTCTGGGATCAGCACTTTGGGCTTCTTTGGTGAGCGGAGGGCAGGTGCATAGAATCATGGAATCCTAGAATATCAGGGTTGGAAGGGACCTCAGGAGGTCATCTAGTCCTACCCCCTGCTCAAAGCAGGACCAATCCCCATCTAAATCATCCCAGCCAGGGCTTTGTCAAGCCTGACCTTAAAAACTTCTAAGGAAGGAGATTCCACCACCTCCCTAGGTAACGCCTTCCAGTGTTTCACCACCCTCCTAGTGAAAAAGTTTTTCCTAATATCCAACCTTAACCTCCCCCACTGCAACTTGAGACCATTACTCCTTGTTCTGTCATCTGCTACCACTGAGAACAGTCTAGAGCCATCCTCTTTGGAACCCCCTATCAGGGAGTTGAAAGCAGCTATCAAATCCCCCCTCATTCTTCTCTTCCACAGACTAAACATCCCCAGTTCCCTCAGCCTTTCCTCATAAGTCATGTGTTCCAGTCCCCTAATCATTTTTGTTGCCCTCCGCGGGACTCTTTCCAATTTTTCCACATCCTGGTCCACTCTCCGCAATGGTACCTGTGGAGGAAACATGAAAGCGGTTAGTTACCTGTGTCCGCGTTGCTGGAACCCGGATATTCCCCCTTCTTCTTCTGGAGGTCACATGTTGCCACATCCTTCTTGTAGCGTGGGGCCCAAAACTGGACACAGTACTCCAGATGAGGCCTCACCAGTGTCGAATAGAGGGGAATGATCACGTCCCTCGATCTGCTCGCTCTGCCCCTACTTATACATCCCAAAATGCCATTGGCCTTCTTGGCAACAAGGGCACACTGTTGACTCCTATCCAGCTTCTCGTCCACTGTCATCCCTAGGTCCTTTTCCGCAGAACTGCTGCCTAGCCATTCGGTCCCTAGTCTGTAGCTGTGCATTGGGTTCTTCCGTCCTAAGTGCAGGACCCTGCACTTATCCTTATTGAACCTCATCAGATTTCTTTTGGCCCAATCCTCCAATTTGTCCAGGTCTTTCTGTATCCTATCCCTGCCCTCCAGCGTATCTACCACTCCTCCTAGTTTAGTATCATCCGCAAATTTGCTGAGAGTGCAATCCACACCATCCTCCAGATCATTTATGAAGATATTGAACAAAACCGGCCCCAGGACCAACCCTTGGGTCATTCCACTTGATACTGGCAAGCACTGGTGGATCATTCGTGCCCCTCTACCCACCCTGCATGAGGACAGTCTCCTATAAAGCCACCCCTGGTGCTGTAGGGGAGAAGAGAGCCTGGGGGGAGGGGGGAGAGTAGAAATGTGATGGGGTATCAGGTGCATTTCCCCCCACACACACCAGGGAGAGGCTTTCAGTGGGGGACCCCTGTGACGGGCTGGATCACAGAACCTCCCCAGGAGCTGCCCCCTGAGGTGCCAAAACTACTTCTACCCCTGCTTTCCTGCCCCATCAGCTTAGGACTCCAGCGCCCTGCTTGGTTTGAGCCAGACCCGCTAGCCTGCTGCAAACCCAGACCCGGGTCTGAACCACGTCCCCTAACAGCTGTAGGCTTAACTGAAAGCAGCTCACAGAAGTGTGCCTGTCTTTAACACTCAGATGCCCAACTCCCAATGGGGTCCAAACCCTAAATAAATCTGTTTTACCCTGTATAAAGCTTATACAGGGTAAACTCAGAAATTGTTCGCCCTCTATAACACTGATAGAGAGAGATGCACAGCTGTTTGCCCCCCCCCCCAGGTATTAATACATACTCTGGGTTAATTAATAAGTAAAAAGTGATTTTATTAAATACAGAAAGTAGGATTTAAGTGGTTCCAAGTAGTAACAGACAGAACAAAGTGAATTACCAAGCAAAATAAAATAAAACACGCCAGTCTAAGTCTAGTACAGTAATAAAACTGAATACAGAAGTAACCCTTCTGCCCATCAGAGCTGGCAGCAACAAGGGCCGGGTTCAGTATCTAGGGGATCCGTTCCAATAACACAATGCAAACCGGCTCGAGCCCCCACCCAGTGCCATGGGACAAATATATACCACCCCCGCTGGGCGCCTCCAAGAGGCAATACTTCCCCTCTCGCAAGCACATAGTCTGAGTGTGGCAAAAAGCCTTTTAATAACCGAGAGAAACAATGTGGCATTATGTTGGGGAAACATCACCAACAGGATTCATAACACAACCCATGAGCAAAAAAACCCCACCCCAAGCAAATTGGGGCATGCCCTTTCCCTTTGGTTCTTGAGTCCAGCAACCCCAAATCACCCAAAGTCCCAAAAGTCCAATGACCCAAAAGTCTCTGTCCCTGGTCATAGAATCATAGAATCATAGAATATAAGGGTTGGAAGGGACCCCAGAAGGTCATCTAGTCCAACCCCCTGCTCGAAGCAGGACCAATTCCCAGTTAAATCATCCCAGCCAGGGCTTTGTCAAGCCTGACCTTAAAAACCTCTAAGGAAGGAGATTCTACCACCTCCCTAGGTAACGCATTCCAGTGTTTCACCACCCTCTTAGTGAAAAAGTTTTTCCTAATATCCAATCTAAACCTCCCCCACTGCAGCTTGAGACCATTACTCCTCGTTCTGTCATCTGCTACCATTGAGAACAGTCTAGAGCCATCCTCTTTGGAACCCCCTTTCAGGTAGTTGAAAGCAGCTATCAAATCCCCCCTCATTCTTCTCTTCTGCAGGCTAAACAATCCCAGCTCCCTCAGCCTCTCCTCATAACTCATGTGTTCCAGACCCCTAATCATTTTTGTTGCCCTTCGCTGGACTCTCTCCAATTTATCCACATCCTTCTTGAAGTGTGGGGCCCAAAACTGGACACAGTACTCCAGATGAGGCCTCACCAATGTCGAATAGAGGGGAACGATCACGTCCCTCGATCTGCTCGCTATGCCCCTACTTATACATCCCAAAATGCCATTGGCCTTCTTGGCAACAAGGGCACACTGCTGACTCATATCCAGCTTCTCGTCCACTGTCACCCCTAGGTCCTTTTCCGCAGAACTGCTGCCTAGCCATTCGGTCCCTAGTCTGTAGCTGTGCATTGGGTTCTTCCGTCCTAAGTGCAGGACCCTGCACTTATCCTTGTTGAACCTCATCAGATTTCTTTCTTGGTCAGGGCAGCCCCAGAGTTCAAAAGTTTATCTGCAGAGCTTTACCTCATAACCTGGGTGGAGATGGGGGGGGGTAAGAGGCACCTTACATGATCTGAAGCTGACCGCCCCACAGCTCCAGAGGCCTTCGCTCCGCTCCACTCCACCAGCCTCCCCACGAACTGCTTCACTCGGCTCCGCTCAGCGGCCCACAAGCAGCTCCCGCCATCCCACGAACTGCTCCACGTCCCACAAGCAGCTCCCACCGTCCTATGAACTGCTCCACCAGCCTGTCCACAAGGCACTCCAGCCGTCCCGCAACGCTCAGTGATTTCAGCTCTTAGTCAGTTCAGCCCTTTGGTGAATTCATCTTGTAGTAGGGGAGCCTCAGTGCTGGTGCACCATTAGCCCAAAGTGAGCTCAGCAGCCTGTAACTAGATTTCTAATGAAATCAAAATTAGCTCTGATATTCTACAGTGGAGGGAAGGGGAGGGGGGGAGAAAGAGAGAGAAGGAAGTGCAATTAGAATGTAAAGGCCCTCACCAAGGGGCCCATACCACCAAGTATTAATACTTCTCCCCAACCTCTCTCAATTCACAGAGTTTTGGAATCCATGTCCCTTGCCTAGCGAGTGCTACTTAGTTGATGGTGAGTCCCTCCATCATAACAAAAGGCCAAGTACAGTTCCAAGCACAGTTCCCATAATGACAGGTTTCAGAGGAACAGCCGTGTTAGTCTGTATTCGCAAAAAGAAAAGGAGTACTTGTGGCACCTTAGAGACTAACCAATTTATTTAAGCATGTAGCTCACGAAAGCTCATGCTCAAATAAATTGGTTAGTCTCTAAGGTGCCACAAGTACTCCTTTTCTAGTTCCCATAATCAGGATAATAACAATTTATTCTTCCTGCCCCAATAACAGAGACACTGGGGATCCCACAGCAGCCAAAGTGACCATTTGGGCAGCTATGGCCTCATTCTAGGCGGGGTGGGTGTGCCTATGCAAATGAGATCGGCCCCTGAAGTTCTTTTCCACAACTTGCCACACCTCACCACCAGATGTCAGGGTGGAGCTCATCCTGACTCTGCTTACACAGATAAAATCTCACCCTTAGAGATGTTTCAATAAGATTCTTTCACAGACTGGAGCTGGACACCTTCCTAGTCTGGGCACAATCCTTTCCCCTGGTACAGCCCTTGTTCCAGCTCAGCTGGTAGCTAGGGGATTCCTCATGATGGCTTCCTCCCTTGTTCTGTTCACCCACTTATATATCTTTTGCATAAGGCGGGAATCCTTTGTCCCTCTGGGTTCCCACCCCTTCTTCTCAGTGGAAAAACACCAGGTTAAAGACAGATTCCAGTTCAGGTGACATGGTCACATGT